AGCTGAGACCCCCAACTCGTCGTTTCCCCTTTGGATTTCCCTCGAGTGACTGGCCTGGTGCGTGATGTCCTCCAGTAGAAGTTTAATATTACAACTTTGAAAATATGAATCGTAGTATATACAATGGATTACAAATATGTGCAATATTTAGCAGGGGAGTGAGTAATTTATATTAATAATGTTACCAGTTGATAACGTAAAGGTTGAATGATAACAAAAAGGAGTCAAGTAAGATCTTCAAATCGTCCATAGATTGTGCATATAGATTATAAAGAGAGTGAAAACGTTACAAGAACAAGACAAGTTAAAGGTTGCAATTATCTACCAGTTCACCTGTTCCTATGAAGTAAGGTATATCGGCTGTAGTCAGAGATTACAGTCAACGTGTATACAAGAACATATCCCTGCCTGGTTTCATAAGGATGAAAGGAAATGAATTAGAAGTTCTATCCTTGAACATCTAATCGATTCCAACCATTCGACCGAACCAAATAATGATTTGAAGGTTGTCTATCGAATTCGCTAAGACATCTCATATTTCCTCCATATTCAACTTCTAAAAATAACAGAAGCCATGAACTGAAGCCTGACCTTTGTGTGCAAAAGACGCATATACGTACAGTCTTTGTCTCCAACACGACCTTAACTTATCTTGATCTTGGTATGCTTAGTCCCTTTTTCGTTTTTTTTCAACTTCCCCTTTTGTTAGATTAATCTTTGGACTCTTATATCATCATAATGATTATTTTTATTTTTACATCTAATCTTTTCCGGTGTTACTTCATATGACATTCCCAATAGTTGCAACCTTCAATAAAACACTTCCAATTTATTCCAATTCACTTGTCTCATCCATATTATCTAATCCATGAAAACAACCTTTAAAGTACGAGATAAAGGCCATCAGAGTCGAGCACTTAAATTTATTGGAGCTCTTGTCATCCGTAAATTCAAACCCTCTGCTTTATTTATACAAAACCAATTTGTACTCACCTTGAACCTACCTTGGTAGTATTGATTTTAATTTTCATATCAACAGTAATGTGATTAAGATCCTGTTTTTACTCTGCCCTTCCTATTCCTCTGTTTCCTATCAACTTCATTGACCCTCTTCGTAAATTTCCATATAAATAGTTTGACAAATTCATGTGTGATCAGATTGTTCGAAATGTATAGCGTTAATACATCACTACATGTTTCAGATAATCTTCGTCTTCTCATTACGCTATTTAAATCCATTGACTGTTTATTAACGCTACCACGTTTTCACGCCCTTCACAATCAATATGCACCATTTTGTTATCATTCAACCTTTACGTCATCAACTAGAAATATTATTATTATTATTATTATTATTATTATTATTATTATTATTATTAACGTAATTTATGCGTTCGCCTTGAAACCCGAAGGTGCTGAGTTCGACCCCTAGCCAGGTCGTAGGTGGGCACTGCCATCAAGTTTCATACTAGGATGAAACAGCTGTCCAGTGCTCCCAGATTTTCAATGGTTCCCCAAATGATGTCAGCCCATTGATGAATACTACCTCTATTTTACCATAATTAATATTTCAATCTTAAATTATTTAATTTAAATCTTCCCCGCGGACTGAAGTCTCTAAATATATACGAATGTACGTACAGCTTGAGAATAATTCGTTGAAAAGAGTCCTCTTCGCTGAATATCCCTCTGAGTATTGGTGAATTAATTTGATATACCATTGGAGTAGTCAGTTAGGTCTAATGGAATTTGGTTGTGACTAATCACCAATGATTGATTGTAAAGCTTGGAAAAAGTGTTGCTTGAGTAAGTCAATTACGTGATTTATATTCATTATGAGCATGGAAAGTAAACAGAATTGAAAAGAGAAATTTATACAACTAACTACCTTATGCTGGTGTAGAGTTTTGGAATTTCCTTCGTTTTTTTTATATATCCTCCACAACATAATTACTAATGGATAACCTATCGAAAGTACAGTTTTCAAGTACTTGTGTGCACTTTATAGTGTGTTATTCATTTGATGATTTCACTTCGTAAGAGTTTTTTTACCGGAACATCTAAAACAGGGAGTCTTTCTGTTTATCAGTGGAATTTTCAGATCATTGAGAATAACCATCTTATTTGTAGCACCACTGACTTTTTCTTGTTCACGGAGATTGAACATTAAATAAGTGGCTGGAACAAATGCAACCTGTAGTATGTCATTTATTCATCAAAAATTTTACTCATGCTTATTGAGTCCACATGTTGAATCATTGCATATGACTTTATGGAAGGCATAATCCAACGAAACTTGTTGATTTATGCTGAAACACACTACATGTATGCTATCACTAACACATCCTTCTGCTACTTTTTTTCTGACCAAATGTACACACATATATGTTTATTTCCTATTTCAACATAAGACTTTTGTGGTCTCTGCAACTAATTGTGACTATGTAAAGCATGTTTATCTCCTAAAATCATAAGAACATGGGATGCTTTAGATTTAGTGTTTAGTAAGTACCTGATTAAACTCAGTAAATGCTACTTCATAGTTTTCCTATCTTGCAAACCCTTTAGACATTATAACTCGATGGAAAACTGTAGTCATGTCGTCACTCATCCTTCCTAAGATCAAACACATGAGCTCTATGTGATTATGGAGTTTTGCTAAATAACCATAAAGCACCATACAAAGGTGTCCCGACCAATACGAAGTAATTTTCGTTCCAGTTTGAACTCGTCAGCCGGATGCATCTGCCACCCACTGAATGATGTTTGCCCCCCTCCCAAGTTTCTTCAAATGCCAGATGGCTATCCACCAAGTCAGAGAGTCATGATAGCCACTCCTTGTGTGACAAATACTGTATAGATTTGATGTCACAGTTTGTACATCATTGTCCCGTATCTTAAATTTCCCTACTAACCCTGTATTCATGAATAATGCTGAACTGAAAATACAGACAATATCGAGGGGTCCGTACAGTAGTCCATGTGCCAGTAATGGTTGATCAGTTAGGTCCAACCAACAATATGAAAAATTGAATTTTATAAGAATCGAATTCAAGACTAATAGCTTCTAAAAGAAAAACAATTGTAGCTGGCGCAGAGCACAAACTTTGCATGTCAACATTCAAATAGAGTGCCAGAATGTAAAAGGTTTTCAGTATACTCTCAACTTGTGTTTTATAAATCTTTCAGTTTTCTATGTGCAAATTATCCTTAACTTTATCATCACAGTTTACCTAGAGTGAATTTCTCATTGAACAACTACTTACATGTATCTCTATCATTTTAACCAGAAAATTTCACTTCCAAACTTGATAAATATGATCTCAAGCGAGCTGAGATAGTATTGTTTGGTGGACTGCTATCATATTTATTATAGTACTCAGCTGGTTTACATAAGTCTGTGGTTCGAAACTCGCAACATACCGAATCTCGTTTCACCTACGATTAGGTATGCGTATATTTCATCATCCTTAGTACACCTACGTTATATTTTTTGTACTACCGTCACGCAAGTCTGTATACCTGTGCATTTGTTAATTTTTGTCCAAAAATAGGCTGAAATAGTGGCCGAGTTGATTGCTTTTCGGAAGGCAATGAGGCACTTTGACTGGATACAAACAGCAACCGTTCTTCTTCAGCATCCTATACTCCAATAATCCACGAAAATATTAGAAGACAAGGACTGGTCTGTGACTGTAAGGAGGACATTTAATTCAACAAAAATAGAATATTTATATACAGTTTTATGAATGACCTATTCTGACTGGTCAACTGAGGCGCAGAATTGTCCAATGAGGTTTTTCTTGACCACACAGAGACATGAAACAAAAATTGGAATATAAAAACTGTTACCTTAGCGGCTGATGATTTAGTGTTGATTTCCATCTAGGCTGCTTCTTATCATACTTGATTATTTTGAACATTATAACTATCGAATAAAGTTGTATTAAGACTGATTTAGTATACAGATGAAATGAAACGATGAACTTGTTATGCTCTGTAGTTGTTTTGTCACTTAACTTAAGGAGACGAAGTAATGCATCCTGTCAGTAGACTACTGTTTCAAGTAGTTGAGTTTCAAAACTACAATTGGTTTCATAATTAGGCCTACTTGGTCGTTAGAGGCAAATCTGAAAATATCTCAAGCAAAACTGATGTGTGAGTCATTGGAATTGAAGTAGAGGTTATCCTTTACTCTGATTTATACTCTAATTTATAAAATGTTAAGCATATAAACTAAATTATGTGAATCATCAATTTGTCTGAACAAAATATCCAACCTGTAGTGAAATCTTGGTCGATATTATTCCCCTTATCGGTGAACTACAAGAGCCTAGATGTTTCATCCGCTTATCTAGAATCAACTGACAGTATGTATTTTAACGAAAGAGAGTATTATTTCTTGATTCTTGGAATTTCCCATTGCTATACTGCATAGAATTGCTCGGCCTCGGTTGGTAGATGGGTTCCTCTACAAACACTTTAATACTGCCTGAATATTCACCACGTTGTAGTTTTTAGTATACTAATAAGAAACTACAACTAACCCAGTTCTACAGGAGGTGAATCGCAGCCCGAATAGCTCAGTGGTAAAGTCGCTGACTGCAACACTGGGTGATGCAGGTGCAAGTCCCAAGTGGGACATCAGTTCCGTCGAAGTTGTAGATACGCCTTGCTGACGAGTACCAACAAGCACAAAAACTAGACCCAAGTCTTCCTGCCGATTGCCTCCAATCAATTGAAATTACAACTATCAATAAACAACAGTGAATACCCGTTGGAAAAGAAGTAGTTATTGTGCTTCAGTGACCTAGTGGATAGTTCTTTAGTATTTGAAGTTATAAGTACTTGGTTCCAGTCTCAGTGGGGACATTATCACTCACAGAAAGTCTGAAATAGAACAAGACGAGCCTCCTAGATTCCACTGGCTTAACCATCACCAAGTAGCTTACTCTTTAGGATTCAGACACTTGAGAACTAAAACTAGTCGTTATTGGTTAGTTTCTTTTGTTGTTGTTATGTAATGTAGATCATATATCATTCTTTACTCTACAACTTAATGTGTACATCTATATATTGTTGCATACTTCAAGGTGAAATATTCAATCCTTACTGACAACTGGCGAGTGAATGAACAGTCAATAATTTACATGGGATTTCAGTCACACTGAATGATCAGTTTATTTGTTTGATAATAGTTTGCTTTTTTTTCGTCTTTCGTACTCATCACAAATGAAAATAGAAATAAACAATAACAATTATAATAACAAGTAATAATGAATAATCATCATTCCATTGACTGATTGAATCATAAAAAGAAGAAAAGGGAGAAGGAGATAGTCTTGTTCACATTTAAGGTATTATATATATATATATATATTCAGGGAGGATAATTCTGTTGTAATTACTACGATGGTACTGCAGCCAATAATCATCATAAAGCAGGGATAATTTTGTCTTCCTTTGAATACTTCTCGAAGAGACCTTCACTATTTATCATAAAATTGAACCATCATCATCAACAACAACAATTGAAACAAACTACAACAAAGCAATTAATAATAAAATTATTTCACTACTCTATAATCTTCTTTAGTGTTTATACAAAATGTGGATTTATGTGCGTATGTATCTGACATTTTGAACTCATCCTCTCATCTGACAGCACTCAAACAATATAACCCCAGATTGGTAAAGGGAATATGAAGAGTTGAAAACAGGTTCTCCCAAGGGTATGTTTACATAACTGTCATCAATGATAATATGAATTCTCACTCTCTTCACCTCCCCTTCCGCTATTCTTCCTCCTCTTGATCCACATGCACAAAGTGAAACGCACAGATTTGTATCTTGGTCATACAATAAGCATATAAAGAAAAAAACTTGTCAAAGTTAATGTTGCTTATTCGATATTATTTCATTAAAAAAAAAAAGGGATCGGAAGGCTGATATGAGGTCAGCATTGTGTCTACTGGTGAGATGATAAGTAAAATCACCGATTCCATATATAGAACGAGGAGTTTATTTTCATTCCATGAAGCAAGAAAGAATATGTCGATGTCAAAGCCAAAAAAAATAATTTAGTAAACAATAATAATGATAGTAGTACTACTATTAATCATAATTGTAGGATAGGCGTAAAAAAAAGAGGGAGGGAGGGAGGGTGAATATTTCATTTGGGATCAAAATAACTCCAAAGGTTAGTAGACACATACACACACACACACACACAACATACATTTCTGCATTAGCAACATAACAAAAATACTGTGAAGATAAAGATTTTTTTTTTTATAGAAATGTATAAAAACAAAAAAAGATGTTTAGCAAAACAAAACGGGAACCAAAAAACAAACAAACAGACAAATTCATTTTTTCATTGTATATTTATTAATTGAATAGATTAAAAAGACAAGGCAATTTTGTGAATAATAATTGTGTTCTTTTTTGTAAGAAGAGAAGATTGAAACATTGAGTTGAATAGGTTAAATGATCTCTCATAGTTTATTAAACAACTCACATATTGGCTTTTTTTTTTCTTCATGATTTTTCTGTTTATACAAAGAAAGCATATATATATATATATTAGTGAGATTATATATTAGTTGGTACATAGTTAAATGAGAAAGAAATATAAAGTATCTATTGGCTTAGAGATCACTTTCTGTTTTTATATAAGAGATTTTCTTAAGAGTTGAGATAAAGGATTTCAAGAAAGTGTAGAACAGAAAGGCGGTGATATTTTTCTTTCAAATATCATTATCATAAAATAATATCAGAAAAACAATGAGCTTTGTAAATATTGTTATTCAACGAAAATTTTCAACCAACCTGATGATTACATTATTGTATTAGGGATGAATACACATTTATCCTTGTATAATATACGATAATAAATAAATTTTGTATAATATATAGTCATTACTTATTATTTTGGCGAAAAGTTTATTTTTTCTTTCAATATTCAATGACCATAATGAATGTTGAATATGTGTTGTTGAGTTTTTTTACTGTCAGAAAACATAAACACAATTAAAAGAAACAACAACAACAACAGCAAGAAAAAATAGTTTAAAAAAAAAAGTAACGAAAGTCAATACAATCAGGATGGTTCGAGTAGTTATTCACTTTTTCCCATACATTGTCATTATTGAGTAAGTATACTTCAAGAACAAAGGATTTATATGGTAGTCTTTTCAATTGGAGTAGGAGGTTGGGTGGGATGGATAGGGTGTAGTCGGGTGGGTTGGGGGTAGTACGGCATCATATATATGTTTTCAGCAGTACCAATTTTCATTATACGTTTGATAATCTTGAGTAATACAAGGTAGAGTTAGTCAATTACTTTTTTTATACAAGGGTTTGATGATTAAAGCGGTGACAGTAACAGTGACCAATCAATTGGTTGTTTTGTTGACTGGGTTTCAAGCTGATGACGAACTCATGAGGGATATACTAGTGAATTGCAAATTCTATAATAAAAAAAGTAGATAATTAGCTTTGAGAAATGTATTTTAAAATATATTGTACTAAAGACAAATTCAACCTCGCCTGATTAACTAGTTTACTAGTTACTAGCCGGTCCTAAGCCCGGGTAAACAGGGAAGGTTGGGCATAGGACTAGCAACCCTACACCCTAAAACAAATCTAACCACTAAACAAACTTCAAAGCACAAACAAAATATAAAAAATGAAAACAAACTTATTCCTCCCTGGAATCGGAGAGGTGAAATGATGCCACTTGGTGAAAGCCTGCCTTCGGGAAGCCAATTGGCCGGGCCGATGTGTCTTCTCTCCCTCGATGAAAGCGAAAGTAAACGTGGGGACATGGAATGTCCTCACCATGTTTGAACCCAGCTGGTAGGGCAGCCCAGATTGCAAACGAGATGAGAAGGTATCACATCGAAGTGCTTGGGATTTGCGAAAGCAGATGGAATGGGAGTGGACCCTCCAAACTGTCAACTGGAGAATCAATAATCTACTCCGGTCACCCAGACGACAACCACGACCACACTGAGTTCTGGAGTGGCTATCATGATGTCCTCAAGAGCATCGAAGGCTCTCATGCAGTGGGAACCAATCTCCTCCAAGATCATGACAGCAAGATTCAACTCAAAAGGAAGAAAGGTCACAATCATACAATGTTATGCACCTACAAATAATGCAGACCAAGAGAAAAAGGAGGAATTCTACAGACAACTTCAATCAACACTGGACAAGACCTCACCCAAGTTGGCGATATCAAAATTCTAATGGGCGACATGAATGCCAAACTGGGAGGGGACAACACGGGAAGAGAACTAACCATGGGTGAAGAAGCGCTAGGTGAGATGAACGAGAATGGAGAATTGTTTGCAGAATTCTGCGCATTCAACGATTTGGTGATTGGAGTCAGGCAGTGTGTTCAGGCACAAAGATATCCACAAAGCGACATGGATTTCACCAGATGGACACACTAAAAATCAAATCGAATTTATCTCAATCTCAAGAAAATGGAGACGCAGTCTACTTAACACAAGGTCAAGAAGAGGAGCAGATGTAGTTTCACACCACTCACCATCTGGTGCAAGGAACCTTCCAAATCAAGTTAAAAGCTTTCAAGGAAGCTGGTGATAGACCTCAATTCAAGTACAACACTCGGAACAGAAACTGAAGGATGAAACTACAAAGGAGATCTTCAAGGCAGCCATCAAGACAAAATGGAAGACATCGAGCAACATCCCTGAAGAAACCTGTGTGGAAGAACACTGGAAGTATTTGAAAGCTATGTGGGAAGAAACCTGCACAACAGTATTAGGAAGGAAGAAGAAAGAAGATAAGGAATGGATCTCGACGGATACCTGGAAGCTGATAGAGGAGAGGAGGATGATGAAGCAGAAGATAAACCAGTGCAAGGATGCTCAACGACAAGAGGAACTGAGTACAATATATAAAACACTGGACAAAGAAGTGAAGAAGAGTGGGTGGAAAGACAAAAGACACTTCTACGAAACACTGGCAAGTGAAGCAGAACAGGCTGCAGGTAAGAGAGACCTGACGACATTGTATCAAATAACCAGGTTGCTATCAGGGAAGAGACCAACACAGATGAAACCAATAAAAGATGAAGAAGGAAATTTAATTACGAAATAAGAGAAACAGAGGAAACAATGGGCCGACCACTTCAAGAAGCTCTTGAATCGACCACCACCACCACCTGCACTTCGTCCAGAAATACCACCTGCAGCCGCTGAATTACAAGTGAACATAAATCCCCCAACGAAAATGGAAGTCCTGAACGCCATAAAGCTACTGAAATGCGGGAAAGCAGCAGGACCAGATGGAATACCGCCAGAAGCACTGAGAACAGACGCAGAGACAACAGCGGACATGCTCACACCACTATTGCAGAAGGTGTGGAGGGAAGAGAAGGTACCTGACGATTGGAAGAAGGGTTACCTTGTCAAACTGCCGAAGAAGGGAGACCTCAGTGTTTGCAAGAACTGGCGCGGAATCACTCTCCTGTCCACCCCAAGTAAAATATTATGCCGCATCATCCTAGAGAGGCTTAAAGACGCACTGGATTCAAAACTACGACCAGAACAGGCAGGCTTCAGGAAGTACAAATCATGTGCAGACCAAATTGCAACGCTTCGTATCATCATAGAACAGAGCATAGAATGGCAATCAGCTCTCTACCTCAACTTCATCGACTTTGAGAAGGCTTTTGACAGCGTCGACCGAGAAGTAATTTGGAAACTGCTTCAATACTACGGAGTACAACAAACCTTTATCCGCCTCATTCAACAACTATATGAAGATGCCACATGCCAAGTAACCCACAATGGGAAGCTCAGTGATGCCTTTGAAGTCAAGACAGGAGTGAAACAAGTTTGCCTACTATCCCCCATGATATTCCTGATGTTGTGGTGGACTGGATCACACAGCAAACAGCAGGCAGCGAGAAGAGGGGGATACACTGGACGGCGGAAAAGAACCTAGAAGATCTGGATTTCGCCGATGACTTATGCCTAATGTCACACAAACTTGAAGATCTGCAGGCGAAAACTAACAAGTTGACAGAAGAGGCAGCGAAGACGGGACTTCAGGTGAGTGTAGAGAAGACAGAGGTGATGAAGATACCGCACAAACAACTCCAACAACAACAACAAACTCCAATCACCGTCAACGGTAGAAACTTGAAGGAAGTAACCTCCTTCACTTATCTAGGAAGCACTGTTTCAACTACAGGCGGGACGGACGAGGACGTCAAAGTCAGAATCGGAAAACAGCAAGACAGGCGTTCATTAGCCTGAAACCAGTGTGGAGATCTTCTGCACTCAGCATGCGTGAACAAGATCCGGATTTTCAACACCAACGTCAAGTCAGTGCTACTGTATGGCTCAGAGACTTGGCGCGTCACGAAAGGCATTTCCAATAAACTACAGACATTCATCAACAACTGCTTACGCTGCTCGCTACTGAAGATCAGATGGCCAGAAAAAATAAGCAACAAGGAACTCTGGGAACGAACCAACCAAGAACCTATCACGCAACAAATATGCACTGGAAGGAAGTGGAGATGGATTGGCCATGCACTGAGAAGGCCGACTGAGGACATCACGCGTCAGGCCAGTCACTCGAGTGGAATCCCCATGGGAAGCGACGAGTTGGACGTCCTAGGTGAGGGTGACATGGAGGAGGTCGTGCGAGGAGGAAATGAGAGCTTGTGGGCTGTCGTGGGACCAGGTTCAAAAGATCTCAGATAACAGAGGTCACTGGAGGCGTGCTACTGAAGCCCTATGTTCCACTAGGAACCCAAGGGACTAATAATAATTATAATAAAAAAGACAAATTCATATCATAGGAATAAACTCTTTATAAGTAGTATTCATCATAGACTGATATCAGTTGGGGAGCCATTGAAAATCTGTGAGCACTGGACATCTGTTTCGTCCTAGTATGGGACTCCTCAGCAATACACACACACACACACACGACCCCATCAAGTATCGAACTCAGGACCTTCATGTTTCACGGCGAATGCCTTAACCATTCTGCCACTGGGTCGGTTTCCATTGGTTCACAATTTCCACTTCTGTCAATTCACGATATGGTGTGACTACCGCCCAAGGTCTTCAGTTGGCATCTGCTTCACTTCCGACTGGTTGACCACATAGGTCCCGACTTCTCATTAGAGCTTCGTGATATCCATTTGGAAGCAAGTCACTAATGAGCACTATACAGTAATGTATTTTTGAGATGATGAATACTCCTTCTAAATTAAAATCCCCATTCATCACAAAAATACATCACTGTATAGTACTCAAACTCTTTATAGGTAAATTCTTTGAAAATAACAATTCAGAAAGGTTATCATACATATAACAGGTGGATTAATTAGGAAAATATAGGGATGGGCAACTATTCACTTGTCTAAAGACATCTCTAATAACCGATGCTTAACAGGAGTCAGATGTATGAACAACTCGATTGTGGGCGCCTAGTGGATACCAGAAAGGAAATCGAAATGACAGATGCACTTGACATAATCAACGGATAGTATAATCGTGTAGCATTTTGATTCATATAGAATAAAAGCCCTTTATTCACAGTTTGTGGTTAACCTACAACCGTGCAAATGGTATAACAAACACAACATAATTTTTCAGTTTTTCCTCTCTAAATGTTTGCTAATCTAACTCTAACATAACACTTTATTAGGCCTGACCGAAAGTGAATATGCTTCTCCAATGGTTAATTCGGAGTATGCAGACGATATAGTCCTGCTGGGTGAAGACGCTGACAAAATACGGAGTCTTGTGAACGAGTCGAACAGAAATCTGAGCATGCGTGACTTGGATGCATTTCGCACCTGTCAAATGTAAGATGATGCTCCACGACTTGTCTGCTGCAGGTACTCCCAGTTTAATGATAGATGGTGAAGTGGTGGAATGCGTCGACCGCTTAAGTTACTTAGGGAGTTACGTCACCTCGAACAGGCTGGTTGCTGACGAAATCTCAGCTCGAATGTAGAAGGCTCGTTTGGCATATGCCAACCTGGATCATAATCTGGTGCCGAATGGTGAGATATCCGACTGTCTATCAAAGGACGAGTATACTGCGCAGCAGTCCATCCTGTTCCGTTATACACCGTGAGACGAGACATGAAGCGGTTACAGGGCTTTGATCATGGGTGTCTTCAAAACATCCTTGCCTTTGGTGGAATCACCGTGTGAACAATGTTGAAGTCAGGCGAAAGGTATTCGGCAAAAAGGCAAGTCGATAGATGAGGTTGAGAAAATTTATTGGTTGAGGTAGCTTGCATATGTACTGCGCATGCCAATCCATCGCCTATCTCGACGTGCATTATAGGGGAAGCTGGATCATGTTAAAACAGGGTTCAGGGTAGCCAAAAAAAGACATGGGACCAGTTCTTGAAGTCTTTAACTACTGGTCTGATCCATGTGAAATATAGACTACCTGACTGAGG